GATAGTGATGCAAAGCTAGGAATGCCTGTGCTGAATGAGTACAATTTCATGCACTGGAAGCAGCGCTTGATAGCATGTTTGGATTATAAGCACATTTTGGAAGCTTTAGAGCCTCAGCCTACAGGATCGTCTGAGGGAGATTTAGCCAAGATAAGTGCTTGGAAACGCATGAACAGCGAAGCTAGACACATAATTTTGAGTGGACTTCGTGATGAGCAGCTATCATTAATAAATAGCACAGATGATGCATCTCAAATCTTAAGAGATATTGAGCGCGTGTATGGAGAATCTAGCATAAACAGCTTCAGAAACTTGGTGTGTAAATTAACCAGATTGAGGATGAATTCAAAAGAGGAATTCACAGAGCACATCAACAAGTTTACTGAGATTATTCAAAGAATTGATCTGACTCCCAAAGCTTTTGATGAGGATACAAAGATAGCATTTTTGTTATCATCACTTGGACCACGCTTTGGTGCATTTGTAAGTTTGATGGAGCATAGACAAGGTCTGACATTTAAAGACTTGATTGGTTATTTAAAAGAAGAATGCAGAGATAGAGGTGAATCTCCAGTGAGAAATGCTAGAAGCAAGGACAGCAGTTATGCATCTAGGCAATGTACAAAGTCCAAAGAGATGCCTAAGAAAGTGATTTGCTTCAATTGTAACAAAGAAGGACACATTGCAAAGAATTGCAGGGCTCCTAAAGCAAAGAAACCCCACCCCTTTCAGCCAAAAGGGGAAAAGAAGGGGAAATGTGAATGCACATGGTTACTGCAAGAAAGGAACTTAGCTGTCCAGAATCGTGAAAATAAACGTAACAAATGGATTTTAGATTCAGGTGCCAGTTCGCATTTTTCATATAAAAAGGACTATTTTAATGAGATTAATGAAATAAATGATGAAGAAGGATCTGAAATTGAGATTGCAGATGGTAACATTGTTAAAGCAAAAGGTGCAGGTTCCATGAGCCTGAAATGCAGTATAAACAATGAATGCATTGAGAACACAATCTCTAGAGTTTTGTATGTTCCAGAGCTGAGTTGCAATTTAATCAGCGTGTCCACTTTGGACAAGAAAGGTTTCCAGGTCACATTTGGAAATGGAGAATGTAAAGTGACTAGAAATGGCAAAGTGTTTGCTCAAGCAAAGCTAATAAATGGTGTATATGAGCTTGATCTTTCAGAGAACCAGTCTGCAAAAGTGGCACATTCCAGCCAGAAGGATGAAGCAGATCTGGACTTATGGCACCGAAGGCTAGGACACAGAGACGCCAGCCTCATTCTGGATCTACAGAAAAGAAATCTTGTAAGAGGTTTGCAGGTAAAGCAGAGCAACAAAGCTCCAGCAAAGTGCATAAGCTGTATTACTGAGAAGGCTGTAAAACCTTCATTTCCACGTTGTGCAGAACAAAGAAGCAACAAAGTGCTTGACATAGTGCACACTGACATATGTGGACCCATGAATGTTCCCTCACTGGGAAAGAATAGATATATTTTAATATTTCTGGATGACTTTTCAAGATTTTGTGTTGTATATTTCCTCAAAGAGAAGAGTGAGACAGTGGACAAGCTCCAGGAATACATTGCCATGGTCAAGAACAAATTCCAGAGAGCTCCAGCTGTGTTAATGAGTGACAATGGAGGTGAGTACTGCTCAAATGAAGTGCAGACTCTCCTGGCCAGAGAAGGAATTGCACACGTAACCACAATTCCTTACACACCACAGCAGAATGCCATAGCTGAGAGAAAGTTTAGGTCCATTATGGACATGACAAGGTGCATGCTAAAGGATGCACGTTTGCCACACAAGCTGTGGGCGGAAGGAGTGTACACATCGGTCTATTTGCAGAATAGACTGCCAACTAAAGGTGCAGAGCGCACACCATTTGAACTTTGGCATGGGAAAGCTCCCAATCTGTCGCACATACGTGTGTTTGGAAGTCCGTGTTACTTCCACGTGCCCAAGGAACACAGACACAAGCTTGACTCCAGGGCAAAAGCAGGTATCCTTGTGGGATATGCTTCTGGAGGCAAAGGATACAGAATTATGGACTTACAAACTGGTAAGACAAATGCATACCATGCGGTTTATTTTGATGAATATGGAAAAGTAGACACTAAGAACACTGTTGTGGATTCTTCAGATGAGTCAGAAAGGACTCAAGAGTTTGTATATTTCCCTTTTGAGACCCCACAAAGTAATTATCTGCCTTCGAGTGTTACAGCGCCCCCTACAGGCGATGCACCAGAAGACGCAGAGGACCAGAACCCTGGCGGCACCAGAGACGAAGATGAGGACTCAGATGGGGACATGCCTGCGTTGGAGGAGGATGAGGAAGCTGATGCGGTCGCAGAACCAGAGGTCAGACGCTCATCCAGAACCAACAGAGGTGTCCCACCAGTACGGTTGTCCTACCTTGCAGGGTCGGCGTTTCCACAGGAACCTTCCACTTGGGAAGAGATACAGGAGATGCCAGCTGCAGAAGCCAGTCTCTGGAGGAAGGCCGCGCAGGAGGAGATGGATGCACTGCATCAGAACAAGACCTGGACACTCACTGAGCTGCCTCCCGGTAAGAAGGCCATTGGCAGTAAATGGGTTTTCAAGGTTAAGAAGGGGTCAGAAGGAGAAGTGCAGCGCTACAAAGCTAGACTTGTGGCACAGGGATTTTCACAGCGTTTTGGTGAAGACTACGATGAAGTTTTTGCACCAACTGTGAGGTACAGCAGCGTAAGAATGCTTTTAAGCATTGCAGCCTCCAAGAAAATGAGGGTGAAACACATTGACATTGCTACCGCTTTTCTACATGGGCAGATTTCAGAGGAAATTTACATGAAGCAGCCCAAGGGTTTTGTAAAACCACATGAGGCACATCTAGTGTGCAAGCTGCAGAAAGGACTTTATGGACTTAAACAGGCTGCTAGAGCCTGGAACCAGAAGTTGCATAAAATGCTGACGCAACTTGGGTACAAGCAAGGCGATGCTGACAAGTGCTTGTACAGTAAGTCAAATAATGGACAATTCTCATATATCCTAGCATTTGTTGATGACCTGATTATTGCCACAGCAAGTGAGAAAGACTATACACAGATAGTAAAACACCTTAGCAAGGAGGTGGAGGTCAAGGAGCTAGGAGATGTCCAGTATTACCTCGGGATTCAGGTGGAAAGAGAAGAGGACGGATCATTTCTTCTCAGCCAAAGACAGAAGATCCACGAGCTAGTTGAGCACATGCAGATGCAAGACGCACATCCAGTTGCTACACCGATGGCTACTGACTTCCTGAAGAATCAGCAGGATTCGAAGCAGTTGCCAGACAACAATGACTACAGGTCGGCGATTGGTAAACTTTTGTATTTAGTTACCACATGTAGACCTGACTTAGCTAATGCTGTGGGGATTCTTAGCAGAAAAGTGAATTCTCCCACTGAGCATGATTGGGCAGGTGTAAAGAGGGTGGTGCGATATTTGAAGGGTACCATGAATTGTAAATTAAGGTTACCAGCTGTCAAAGACCCTAAGTTGGTTGGGTATACAGATGCTGATTGGGCTGGGGATAATGCTGACTATAAATCAACGAGTGGTCATGTTTTTATGTTTGGTGATGGACCTGTCGCGTGGGGCAGTTATAAACAGAGCTGTGTAGCATTATCTTCCACAGAATCAGAATACGTTGCAGCAACAGAAGCCTGCAGAGAGATCGCCTGGCTTGATCAACTCATAAAGGACTTTGGGTTGGTGAGAAAAGGGCCTGTCAGCTTGCTAGAGGACAATCAGAGTTGCCTGAAGCTGACGCAGAGTGAGAAGTTCCTGGCCAGAACAAAACACATTGGGGTTAAATACCACTACATACGCCAGATGATCCAGGATGGACTTGTGGAACTATCCTACTGCAGCACCCAAGAGATGACTGCTGACATCCTGACGAAACCCCTACCAAGAGAGAGTTTCCAGAATCTACGTGTCAAGCTGGGACTCTGGGTGGTTGAATAAAGTTGTTTATATTTTGTATATGTTGTATTGCCTGAGAAGGGGTATGTGGGATGTAAACACAGGAGCAGTCAATGACAACATTCCTAGAGTGTACATGTTTAGAACATGGGGGGGATGTCTGTCCAGCAAGCAGGTAAACTTCCTGGGGACGGACTTCCTCCGCATGTGACCAGAGGTGGGTGTGGCCTCACCTGTGCAGGTGATGACAAAAAGCACAGGGCAGGCAGCCATCTCTCTCTCTCTGCCATTTTCCTTCGACGAGGAAACACCTAAGGATGCCCTCTTGGCTCCCAGCCAAGAGAGGAGATAAGGCCTATCTTGCTATGAGATAGATTCTAAATCTATGTAACCTTTTTAAGCCTGTCTGCCGTCTGGGATCACATTGTGAACAGGACGTGAGTAAACTCTTTTATACTTTTATGAAGACTGTGTCGTGTCTTGTATTTTAAGAGGGAACTAAAGGGGAAATTACCAGGGTAATTATTATAGAGGTTCTAGCGAACCTGTGCACACGTTACCGTTGCGTACTAAAGGGGAATGTATGTAAACTCTGCTGATATTTTGGGAACTTGTTAGCACAAGTTGGATCAGGATATAATTAGTCAATATATCCTTTCCTGCACCCCAGAACATTCCCACATGACCATCATGTGTAAAGGTAAAGGTAAAGGGACCCCTGACCGTTAGGTCCAGTCGTGACCGACTCTGGGCTTGCGGCGCTCATCTCGCTTTATTGGCCAAGGGAGCCAGCGTACAGCTTCCAGGTCATGTGGCCAGCATGACTAAGTTGCTTCTGGCGAACCAGAGCAGTGCACGGAAACACCGTTTACCTTCCTGCCAGAGCGGTACCTATTTATCTACTTGCACTTTGACGTGCAGGGAGCTCACCCTGTTGCGGGGATTCGATCCGCCGACCTTCTGATCGGCAAACCCTAGGCTCTGTGGTTTAGACCACAGCACCACCCATGTCCCTGCCTGACCATCATATGTACAAAGAGCCAAAAACATTGGGGGTAAGGTTGCTATTTCCCCAATAATGCCACAATAAACATAAAACATGATAATATGAATGTAACTTTACATCTTAAACAATTAACAATAACTTAGGCTTTGGTTTGCTGGCTCAAGTCAGTATCAAACGTCATGCTTTTGTGACTATTCACCTGCAGGGCAGATCCAATTGTCATCAGCATCATTGTCATAGAAGGTGTTCTCAGAGCTGGTCACTTGTACATTTTACTCATTCTTGACCACACTTTGGTGCCTTCCAGTCACCACGCATGTAATGCACATATCCTGAGCTATGAATCAGCCATGTTGCTTTGTACTGTTAGGAGCATTCAAGAGTTGTTGCCCAAAAGATGCATATCAAAAACAGCATAATCCATACAGTTAGCAGTTCAATACTGTCAGTCAGGCACAATAATGTTAGTGGGTGCTGAGCATGAGAGTTTTGCAGAATCTTTGAAACTGCCTACCTACAATATGGCAATGCAAAACGATAGCTGCTTCCCGAACAATTTCTCTACCAAAGGGGCAAATTTAAAATCCAGTTGAAGAGACACCTCATCAGAATATACCAGGCCACCTACAGAGTTTGACTGGCAAAACCTGATTCTTCAAGCAAGCTGCTTTTTCATCATGTCTTTCAGCGTGGATTATAGAACTCCAGAAAATGGTGTATGCATAAACAACTAACATAATTTGTGCAGACATCTGTTCAGCCTCAAATAATTGTTCCTTTCACATCCGTGCTCAAAGGCTTTCTCGTGTGCTCTGATGTGTAAAGAAGTGTCACCTATCTCATCACTTTTAATGATCTCGTCACCCTTGCGAGTGTAGTCACACCAACAACCCTTATGGCAAATGTCTCACCTTGGCGTCACGAAGAACTGAAGAACAGCACATCTTTTCTAATTGTAGAAAAGCAGTCCCTCAAGAGCTCGAGTGTGGATACAACCAAAGTTGTCGCTCTTCCAGAAGCATTTTTGTGTGCGTGTGTGTACAATGATGATGGCATGCAGAAAAATTATGGGACGAACTACTTTCCGCAGTTCACATTGTGAACGTTGCCATGCGGAAAATGAGTCCCCTGACACTTCCTTGTGAGAGCGCATTTAGAGTGGAGTGTTTCTCAAATGTTTGCTTTCCTAAACTGACTCCGCTTTCTTGGATGATCACACGCACAAGACCACCTATCTGTTAGGCTGATGAATGATTGAGATCTCAGCAAACAAAGCTGTGTGTATCCGGTGGCTGAGCATGAGAACCTGTCAATTGGGGTGAAGTGATACTGACATTTTCGGCAGGCATCTTTCTCCTAGTCCTGTTTTTGTTTCTTAGCAAAAGGATGTGAGGCCACTTCCAGACGGATGGCTATTTTCAGGTGGGATTCAATCACATATTCCTGCAATTTCAAGTCGCACAGTTATAATTGATTGGGAACTCTTGTGCAACAACAAAAGACCAGGCTTTTTGCAATCAGGGAAATGCAGTGCGAAGCATGGGCTAACACTTTTACACAATTTCGCTTAGTCTCCCCGCAAACAAATCAGGTGGATCGCTCATTAAATAGCCCACAGTCACCTAAGCTCCTGGCAAACAAATCAGGGTGAATGCTCAGCAAATAGATAATGTGGTAACGCCCTGAGGAGCTCCTTTTTCTAGCTGCTACTTGTACATTTGCACTCAAAGAGAAATAGACAACGTCAGAGAGAGCCCGCCCTATCTTCCAGGCCAGCAGGCAGGAGCACTTGATCAGAACCCCTTCCACAGTTGTCTCATATTCCCAGTGCTATTTTTTTCCAGAAAAGAAGAGCTGGAACTCACCCTTGTTCTCTTATAATGGCAATGGCACCCATCTGAGAGATGCCGGAACTGAGTTCTGGAGAGTTCCAGCTGAAAAAAAGCCCAGCATATACCCCTCCCCAGATTTGATCCCAGGTCAAAGATGATCTTACCCCAAAACAAGCTAAAAATACCAGCTCAGGTGGCAGGTTTTGACTCCCATTTAGTGTAGCTGTCAGCTGAGAATTTACCTCAGGCACAATGAAATGTCAGCGGGGTTGGTCAGCAGAACTGCCTCATGGACCGTGTGCTTCAATGTGCTAGGAAAAAACACTATCCAAGAAGAGGTCTCACTTCAATTGCTGCGTTTACAACTCAGTACATAACACCACCGGTTTTACATTTCTCTCTCCTGTTTTTGAAAATGGATTTTGGGTTGTCAAGCTGGTTGTTGTTGTTGTTTAGTCGTTTAGTTGTGTCCGACGCTTCATGACCCCCTGGACCAGAGCACTCCAGGCACTCCTGTCTTCCACTGCCTCTCACATTTTGGTCAAACTCATGTTGGTACCTTCGAGAACACTGTCCAACCATCTTGTCCTCTGTCGTCCCCTTCTCCTTGTGCCCTCCATCTTTCCCAACATCAGGGTCTTTTCCAGGGAGTCTTCTCTTCTCATGAGGTGGCCAAAGTCTTAGAGCCTCAGCTTCAGGATCTGTCCTTCCAGTGAGCACTCATGGCTGATTTCCTCAAGAATGGATAGGTTTGAATCTCCTCCAGCACCATAATTCAAAAGCATCAATTCTCCGGCGATCAGCCTTCTTGATGGTCCAGCTCTCAATTCCATACATACCTAAAACGTAGATTGATGTTTTAAACATAAACATGCCTGCTGGACTTCTCTCAAGGTGTGATCACCAAAACCCACTTCCAAAAGGGGCCAGGCAAGATGTCAAAATATGAGACAATTTGATTTGAAGGCTGAGAGTGATATCAGACTTAAAAGTTGGTATGCACATTCAAGGCAGCATACTGTACTGTGTTTCAAGTGCAAGTGTGCCCTCCTACACCTGTTTTAAATCTTGGCATGTAGAAACACGCACAGAATCCGTGCTGGTAACTTCATGCTCAACAGGGTTTTTGTTTTAACTAACAAACATACATATGGGATGCCAAAGAGGTCAAACCTGTCATTTTGCTTGGCCTGGGAAGCACTGTGTGTGTTTCCTGAAACATTTTGAATTTTTTTTAAAAAAAAGAAGATATTTTTTTCCCCTGGAATTTTTATCTCCACTCTAAATTGATGAAAGATCTGATGTAGCATGCTTGACTTAATTTTAATAAACTAAAAAAACTAAAAACTAAACAAGTGCCATGTTAATTTTATATGCAGTATTTCTGACCCCTCCCCCCATTAGCCAATGTAGATAAACTAAAATATTTAATTAGGGCCAACTTATAGAAAGCATACTTAATGTGGTTTATATGTTATTTTGAAACAAATTTTAAAAATTACTTGGACATACTTTTTATCGGACATACTTTATTTTACATTTTAAGATGTGACAACTAATACCATGAACTTCCCTTAAAAAGGTAAAGGGACCCCTGACCATTAGGTCCAGTCGTGACCAACTCTGGGGTTGCAGTGCTCATCTCACTATATTGGCCAAGGGAGCCGGTGTACAGCATCCAGGTCATGTGGCCAGCATGACTAACCAGAGCAGCGCATGGAAACGCCATTTACCCTCCCGCCGGAGCGGTACCTATTTATCTACTTGCACTTTGACGTGCTTTCGAACTGCTAGGTTGGCAGGAGCAGGGACTGAGCAACGGGAGCTCACCCCGTCACGGGGATTCAAACCTCCAACCTTCTGATCGGCAAGTCCTAGGCTCTGTGGTTTAACCCACAGTGCCACCCGTGTCCCTCTGAACTTCCCTTACATTGCTTTAAAATAAAAATAAAAATGGGAAGGTGCTGAAAGCCTGTACCAATTTGAGCATGCTAGAGGTACATAAATATATATTCTTCCTATGGACAGTCCTCTTGAAAAATGTGAATGACGTTTTGATTTGACTATTATTTATTTATTACATTTATATACCATGTTTTTTCTTCCAAGGAGCTCAAGCTGGTGTACAAGGTTCTTTTCCTCCTCTCCATTTCCTCCTCACAACAACCCTTTGAGGTAGGTGCGGCTAAGAGATGGTGGACGGCCCAAGATCGCCCAGTGAGTTTCACGGCTGAATGAGTGGTAGGATTCAATCCCTGGTCTCCAAGGTAAGTCCATGACAACTGGAATGAACACAACATCTGTGTTAAATGGACAATCAAAGCTGTAATTCCATTTTGTCCAGGTCTATAGTAAACACATATTTATCTGCACAGCTCTTTGGGCGTGCTAAATGAGTATGTTGAAAAATTTCACAGCGCCTTCATTGTTTACTAAATTAAGATAAAATGCATTATTAATTGTTATTAACCGATCTTTCAAACCATCAGTTTCTAAAAGTGGGGGGGGGGGGAGATCCATGGGCACAGCCCCCCATAAAGTAAATAAATAAAAATGCTTAACTGACCAATTGCGTGACCAATAACTCAGTGGCGTAGCGTGGGTTGTCAGCACCCGGGCAAGGCAAGTAATTTGCGCCCCCTAACCATAGATTTGCGCCCCCTAACCCGTGGATTTGCCCTAACCCCATATGTTGCGCCCGGTGCGGCCCGCCCCCCTGCACCCCCCACGCTACGCCACTGCAATAACTTGGTCCTGCCTGCCCCCCAATATATCCTGGCTAAAACCCATGTCCAGAAATGAATCGGACAGTGTTGGGTTTTAGGATGATACCTATCAATTACTCAGTGTGTAGGTGGTTGCAAAACATGGGTTTCTGCCAAACTTTGAAGCGACTTGGACAAGGTTCGATTTGTGGGTGTCCGCTACGAACCCCGCGTCTGATTCCTCAATGACCCGGAGCACTGCCAAACGAGTACGGAATTCTGGCACAGCTTTGGAGGGGGTCCCCAATGTCGGGGTCCCTTGTTAATGAAGCTGGTGTGGGAGGGGGGAAAGGTGGCCAGAATTTCTTCCCACCCCCACCATCCTTGGGTACCCTTTTGCCAGCAGCAGCAGCCAGGAACAATGTTTCCAAACCCCAACGCCATTCATTCCAGCCGACTCGTTCCACGATGGAGCGCGCAATGCGTTTCTGCAAAATGGGAAACCATCGACCCATCGGAGGTCATCATGCTTCACCCCCTCCCGTCCGTCCGCCGCTTTTTTTGGCGGGATAACTATTTGTTGGTGGCGATTGACACCCCCACCCCAATATTATTCAACGCGATTCCCCCCCAGCCCCTCCCCAAGCTGGCGCGCTGCTGGAGATGCGCCCCTGCCTTCCCGCCTCCTCGAGGGCGCGCCTCGCTTCCCCGTCCTTCTTCGCCTTACAAGGCTGCGCGCCAGGCATCCCCCTCCCCTTTCTCCCTCTCCCCTCCCTCCCTCCCTCTCGGGATGGCAGGGGGCGGAGCTCCGCGCTCTGGGATTTAGGGACCCTGCCCCGGCCCGCCCACGCCTCTTAGAGCCCTGCCCGGCGACGGCAGCGAAAGCAGCATCGCCGGAGGAACGGCGACGGCGGCACCGCTTCCTCCACCTTCTCGGGTGCCCAGAAAGGCCGCACTTGGCAGCGTCCATGCGGGCCCGTGTTGGGGGCGGCAGGTTAGTGACGAGTCGCTGGCCGGGTGGGGGGGCGGGCAGGAGACGGAGCCCCCCCCAAAGCCCCCCACGACCCTCGCCAACGCCTCGGGCTGGCAGGGCGCACAGCGGCCGGGGAGAAGGGCTACTGCGCAAAGCTGGGAGGGGGCGCGCTGCTGGTTCTTCCAAAGGGGGGCCCCCAACCCCCACGGGATCCCACACCCCCACCCCTCAATCCCAGGCCCTGGATCCATTCCCCAACGTGCTCGGGACAGGCGGGATCAAACTTCCCAGCAAGTCCAGTTGGCCACTGGACGCTGCTGCTGCTGCTGCTGCTTGCACCCACGTTGGCGTTGCGATAAAAGCCACGGCTTGGTCGCTTTGGGGGTGTCCCCACCGCCCCCTCCGCCTTTGAAGGCTTTGCCAAAGGCGGCTCTGCTCTGCTTGTCTCCCCCGCGCATTCTTCCGAGAAAGGGGCGCATCCAGTTTTGGGGGTGGGATTGGAAAGCGTGCCGGCGAAGTCGGGTTGCGCAATGGGAAGTTTCCAAGAAGATGGGATTTCATGCCGTAAGGAAAGTGGTGGGGGGTGGGAAGGATCGCAGCGGAACTTGGAGGCGACGTCGTCTAAAGTCCCCGCCAACGAATGCTCGTTAAATACCCAGCGTCGTCTAAGCACCCCTTTGGATCAATGCTGGGTAAACAGGTTGTCCGGAAGCCCTGAGGATTTCTAACCATTACAGCCTCTTTGAAATTAGGCAGCCACCAAAGTACAGTAAGGTAAAGGTAAAGGGACCCCTGACCATTAGATCCAGTCGTGGCCGACTCTGGGGTTGCGGCGCTCATCTCGCTTTATTGGCCGAGGGAGCTGGCGTACAGCTTCCGGGTCATGTGGCCAGCATGACTAAGCCGTTTCTGGCGAACCAGAGCAGCGGCACGGAAATGCCGTTTACCTTCCCGCCAGAGTGGTACCTATTTATCTACTTGCACTTTGACGTGCTTTCAAACTGCTAGGTTGGCAGGAGCAGGGACTGAGCAACAGGAGCTCACCCCTTCGCGGGGATTCGAACCGCCGACCTTCTGATCGGCAAGTCCTAGGCTCTGTGGTTTAGACCACAGCGCCACCCGCGTTCCTAGCCACCAAAGTAGATGCTTCAAAAACAAAAGGAGGGGTGGGGTGGATCTGGGCATGCTTAAAGAAGGCTCCACTGTATGCCTTGGGTCTTAATTTGCTTCGCTTTTGTGGGAAGGGGCATTAGCCAAGTTTTCTCCACAAGGTTGCCAAATTCCATCAAGCCCACCCTTTCATTCTCCTGCCTGTTTTTCACCACTTTGAACTACAGTCAATATAATTAAGCCCCTCTTGTTTATTCTGCCCTGGTAACAGATTCCCCCCCCCTCTACATTTGTGAAGAAAAGCAAGGGTAGATTTTTGTTTAGGACCCCAAAAGGCTCCACCTGGCCCTCTGCTCATCCAGGATATAGTATAGACCACCTTCTTTTGATTTATTTTCGAAGTACCCCAGTTATTCTCTGAGAAATGGCATCACCTTGCTGTTCTATCGTTGCTTCCCATGCAATTAAACACTGATTCTGACCCCTGTCTTACAGGAGGCGGGTGCAGGAGTTGCCAACTTTTCACCTGGCCTCTCGAACTCTGCCTTCCACAGCCACCAGATGTGCAGATATTAGCAGGTGATGAAGTCTGTCTGCTGTGAAAGGCTTCCCCTACTGATTTCTGCACATCAGAATTCTGTCAGAAGCACAGGTCTCCGTGTGTGTGTGTGTGTGTGTGTGTCTCAGTGTGTCAGTTTGCTGCCCTGGATGAACGGCTGACTGAGCTGTTGCAGAGCAGGCAGAGAGGCATGTCTGCTGATGGATTCTGTAAATAAAAATAAATAAAATGAATACAATTTTATTATGGTTCTGACCCCCTCCTTTGGCAATCCTCACAGAACTCTAGCCCAATGGTTGCCATTAATTTGATTTGAACTGATTTTATAATGAAATGGACGCGGGTGGCGCTGTGGGTAAAAGCCTCAGCGCCTAGGGCTTGCCGATCTAAAGGTTGGCGGTTTCGAATCCCTGCGGCGGGGTGCGCTCCCGTTGTTCAGTCCCAGCGCCTGCCAACCTAGCAGTTCGAAAGCACCCCGGGTGCAAGTAGATAAATAGGGACCGCTTTACTAGCGGGAAGGTAAACGGCGTTTCCGTGTGCGGCTCTGGCTTGCCAGAGCAGCGATGTCACACTGGCCACGTGACCTGGAAGTGTCTGCGGACAGCGCTGGCCCCCGGCCTCTTGAGTGAGATGGGCGCACAACCCTAGAGTCTGTCAAGACTGGCCCGTACGGGCAGGGGTACCTTTACCTTTACCTTATTATTAGCCGCTCTGAGCCTGGCTTCGGCTGGGGAGGGTGGGATATAAATAAAATTTTATTTTATTCTTCTTCTTCTTCACACAACCCCCTACCCCTCTGCTTTGAAAACAGCAGCACCCAGAACTGGAATTGGTAGCCCCACCCTAACCCAACCCCTCTTGTTCTCTTTCCTCTCACCTTCTACATGCTGAAAAATTCCACTCCCCATCCCAGTATCCTTTCCCCCCTTTACCATTCCTTTGTTGCAGGAGCAAGTTGATGTTATTTGCTGATAATATTTTTTTCCCTTTGTCCTTTCCCGCCCTCCCCTCCCTGACTGCTTCTTATTCCAACCACCACAGCTAACATAGGGCAGAACGCATTGAGAAGAGTGAGGAAACTTTCCACCGCACCAGGAAGGTGACTCTGGATGATAAAAGAACCAAATGCGATGGCTGTTCCGGAAGATTCTGTTGGACCGCAACGTTACCGAGACTAGAGGCCTTTGGGTTACTCGCGCAAATGTCCTCCTAACCCTCACGGCGAAATCGTGTCCCCGGCCTCCTTTTTTTGACACGGCTGCGCGGGCCGGGGAGCAATGACTGGGAAAATGGCGTCTAGCCTTACTTGTACTGGGGTAGTATGGGCTTTTTTCTCCTTCCTCTGTGCCGGGGTCTCCTGCGTGGGCTTCTTCATGCCTTACTGGCTGCTGGGCTCTCAGCTGGAGAAATCGGTGTCCTTTGGCACTTTCCGGAGGTGCTCCTATCCAGTACGAGACGAGAACCTCCAGATGACGGTGATGGTGGAACAGTGTGGACGCTATGCATCCTTCCAGGCCATCCCAAGCGTGGAGTGGAGGATCTGCACGGTGGTGACGGGTCTGGGCTGCGGTCTCCTCCTCCTGGTGGCCCTTACGGCACTCATGGGATGCTGCGTGTCAGAGCTTATCTCCAGGACTGTGGGCAGGGTGGCTGGAGGACTCCAGTTCTTAGGTGGTGAGTAACCAGTGAACTTTTGACCACGGAACCCGCCTTTCTGCCAGTACAGAAAACAGTGCCTATGTTGTTCTCCTTGCGGAATTGTCTTTGTGGCTTGAATATATTTGTACGTTAAATATTCTGCCGGATCCGACATTTGCACTCGGTTAGGAATGGGAAAGGCTGCTCTCAGCACATCTCGATTTCTAAACGTTCAAATGAGCGAGTGCGCTGCTTTTACAGTACTGTATTTATTTATTTTTTACAATATGGAAGAATGGAGCTGTTTCAGAGTTAGTCCTAAACTACGGCTCATGAAGTGGCAGATTCCTTTTTTCCGCCATTACAGTACGTACAGGAAAAGGGTATTTGACTGGTCGCCCAGTCCTAATGTTTGTTTGGAAGAAAGCCCTATTGATTTTAATGAGGCAAGCAAGCAGCACGATTGTATCCACATTTTACTGGGAAATAAGGTCCTCTGTGTTTTATTAGGACTTTTTGCTCTCAGTCAGGTTCATGTGTAAAGTTGCAGACTTCCTTACTGGTAAACACATATTGGATTGCAGCTCATATCATGTTTTGTAGGTAGAACCTGCATATTTTCCCTCTCTTTTTTATTAAAAAAAAAGTGTCTTGGATACTCGGTTTTACTCTTTCTGACCATATGGTTTTAATTTTCGCTTTTCCTCTCTTTTTTTGTGGCAACAGCACTCCCTGCTTCTTTGTGTTCCTTCCACTGCACAACTGCTTCTAATTCCAACCTCTGCAGCTGCTATTGTGGAAGGAAAAACTTGATCAAAAACTCCAATTTCCCCTGTTCTTTCGATGTAGTCTTTGTGTTTGTTGTAAACTTGTGATCCTGCAATGGAGAAGAGTGATTTTGGCTTCCTAACAGCTGCATTGCCTCCACCTTAGCTAGCATTCTTGAAGATACCTATCTTTGCGGAAAACTCTGGGTTGCAATTTGAGCACGGGATGAACCAGGCCAGAGAGTGCTAACAAATGACGATTGCATTCTCAAAAGTACAGAGACATGTTTCTGGCTGCTACTGGTGGTTCATTTTCTTCACCAATCCAAACCTGATTAAAGTGTACACAAAGTAGTGATATGGTGTGTGGAGGCAGAACATTTTCTGCATAATCCCCCCTACTACTATTTTTCTGTGATCTCTCCCCATTTTTTATTTAGAAATGCACTGGTAGATAGCGGTAGCATTTCCTTAGTGACATTAAGAAAATGAACACGGTATAAGTCAAGATGGACAACTGGAATGGTTGCAGTACTAATCAAATCTAAAACCAAAGTTGTAGTTCAGTTTTTTTGGTAACTGTCTAGAGGACGCACCTATATTTATGTCTACAGCTTCTCCAGCAGTTACCCGCAGTGGTTTTCAGTGCTGTCACTTTCTCTCTTAAAATCTAAATAATGTCAGGGAAGTGTGTGCTATTAGTTGTTGTGTCTTGAAATATTTACAAGTAATTCTAAAAATAGTTTCCAAGCAAATCTTCAAATTTCATAATATTCAAACCAAGCTAAGTGCATTTTTTTGCAACCCCCCCCCCCCCCAGTATTTCCGTTCAGCTACTTTTGGCTTTGGGGTAAACCTTCAGATACTGACGCAGTATATAAAATTCAAGGCGGCATGCATTTTTAACTTTGTTTACAAATTTAAGTTGGAAACAGGCTGTTAAATTAGATCTCTATTCGATTTAGGGCAGTGGAAAAATCCACCAGGAGCCCCGTTACACTGGTGAAGAGGCAATGAATGCCACATCCGCGGTTCAATATTCTGTTTTGTGTATGGCTTTACTTGCACTGAGCATTGGCCGTCAGTTAGAACATAAATGCCATGTCCTGAGTTTTGACTGCAAGCTGCGAAAGTGTCTGATTTCCAGACTGCCTTGTCTTGGGCTATGTGTGGCCAGTTAACTTTTTCTGTTAATTGAACAGTATCTTAACAATGCTTTGCATTCCTGTGATTGTCATTCAGCCTGTCCCACACAATGGTTACACAGTCAGAATGTTGTTGTAGGCATGCTGTTTTTTGGAGAGTGACGCAGCAGCGCTGTACCCTCATGTGCAAGCTTAGCAGTTTGAAGTTTATCTGGGCAAACAGGAAGAACAGGAAGATTCTTCTCCTCTCCTCTTTTCTCTCTCTCTCAATCTCTCTTTCTGTGTTTTAAGGTACTAAAATTCAAAGGAAGCTACCGGACCCCAGTGCTTTAAATCTGTCACCAAATAATCTTGTTATATAATTAGTTTTGCATCTCTAGCAATGAGAGGTCTGCAGGCCTGTTTAGCTGAAAGGTCTGACATGAATTTGGGATATGTACCTCACACCGTCTGGTTTGTTTTAGGGCTTCTGCATGTTATAATGGGTATCTCTTCACATTTCACCATTTAGGTTACCAGATTTTTTTTCAATGAATCTGGGGACCCTTATTTTTTTTTTTTTTTGAAGCTGAGTAGCAACAGGGAGTCAGCAGTGGGGATGGTGAGGCAAAAAACCCTGGGCCCAAGCACACATGCATATTGTATAATAATAATAATAATAATAATAATAATTTTTTATTTATATCCCGCCCTCCCCAGCCGAAGCTGGGCTCAGGGCGGCTAACAACAATCAAAATAATCCAACATTCTAAAAACATTCATTATAAAATTAATTAAAATCAAATTAATGGCAACCATTAAACAACATTCTGTGCAGGTTGCCAGAGGAGGGAGTCAGGCTGTGCCCTGGCCAAAGGCCTGGTGGAACAGCTCTGTCTTGCCGGCCCTGCGGAAAGATGTCAGGTCCCGCAGGGCCCTAGTCTCTTGTGACAGAGCGTTCCACCAGATTGGAGCCGCAGCCGAGAAAGCCCTGGATCTAGAATGAGGCCAGCCTAACCTCTCTGTGGCCTGGGATCTTCAGGATGTTTTTATTTGCAGACCGTAAATTTCTCTGTGGGACATACCAGGAGAGGCGGTCCCATAGGTAAGAGGGTACTAGGCCGTATAGGGCTTTAAAGCTTAAAACCAGCACCTTAAACCTGATCCTGTACTCCACCGGGAGCCAGTGCAGCTGGTAAGGAGTCTCGCTGCGGCATTCTGCACCCGCTGGAGTTTCTGGGTCAGTCTCAAGGGCAGCCCCACATAGAGCGAGTTACAATAATCCAGTCTGGAGGTGACCGTCGCGTGGATCACAGTGGCTAGGTCAGGGTGAGAGAGGTAAGGAGCCAACTGCTTAGCTTGGCGGAGATGGAAAAATGCCGCCTTTGTTATAGCTGCAATCTGCGCCTCCATAGAGAGGGAGGTATCGAAGATTATACCCAAACTTTTAACGGACGATGCTGGCACTAATTGCACCCCCGCAAGAGATGGGACTTGCCCCCTCAATCCCATATCGCCCCGTCCCAGCCCTTCTTTCGCAACCTTCTTTCGCAACCTGTGAAACATAAATGCTCTGAGTTTTTTTAAAAAACTGGGCAACGGCACCTGCCCGTGACTCCTGAGCCTCCCCCAATCTCCTTCCCCCTTCCCCCTTTGTTTTGACTGATCTTGGGAGTCGCAGGGTTTCCCAGTTTTTAAAAAACTCTGCACATTTATGTTTCACAGGGTGTGAAAGAAGGGCTTTGCACCTTGCTTGGCAGAGAAACCGCGCGCCTTGCGCCCCTCCTGGACAACGGCCGCCCGCCTGCAGCTCCTGAGCCTCCCCTGATCTGTCAAAACAAAGGGAGAAGGGGGCAGGAGATCTGTACCGCAGGATTTCCCTGGTTTCCCCTCGGCAGTGGCAGTGGCAGCAAGCAGATCCTGAAGCCAGCCAGAGCCAACTGTGTTACCAGGCTGGCTCCGGAGGCTGCTGAGGCTGCCGCTGCCACGTTTCCCGGGGACAGATTTGCAAATCTGGGGACATCCGGTAACCCTAAGCTAAACTGATAAGCAACCCTACTCTACAACACACTAAGGTGGAAGTTGCACCTGTGCAGATTAGCAAGTATCCTAGGCTTCCTTGTCCGAAGACTAGCTATGCCACAAGCATGACAATTGCAGCAACTATGGCAGCCACCCAGAGACCGCCCCCACCAGTCACAACATCATCCACAGACAACAGCCCTGAATGAAAAGCACCAATCAATAGTCTTGTGAGGAAGGCAACCCTGGTTAATGATAACCCCTTGCTCCTCCATCCGTTAGGCGATGCCCAGGGAATTGGGAGCAAAAGTCCTTCCCTACCTGATGTTCTCAACCTGTAGCTCAGTGGGGTGTGTGTGGAATGGGGGAACATGGCAGAATTTGGGAACCATGAGTTCAAATGCTTGTGTATTTTCAAAAACGAGGAGAAGCGCTCAGAAATGTGTATCCAAATACATACCTCATACAAGTCCAATTATACAGTGGTGCCTCGCAAGACGAAATTAATCCGTTCCGCGAGTCTCTTTGTCTTGCGGCTTTTTCGTCTTGCGAAGCACGACTATTAGCGGCTTAGCGGCTATTAACGGCTTAGCGGCTATTAACGGCTTAGCGGCTATTAACGGCTTAGCGGCTTAGTGGCTATTAACGGCTTAGCGGCTTTAAGAAAAAGGAAACAAACTCGCAAGAACTCGCAAGACGTTTCGTCTTGCGAAGCAAGCCCTTAGGGAAATTCGTCTTGCGGAACGACTCAAAAAACGGAAAACCCTTTCGTCTAGCGAGTTTTTCGTCTTGCGAGGCATTCGTCTTGCGGGGCACCACTGTACATACATGACATCTAAAAAGAGGAATTTGAGAGGGGAAAGTTAGGAGGGTCTCTAACATCTCATGAAAGAGAAATTGTGCTTCTCATGAAAAGGCTGACACCTACACAGGAGAAAAAACAGTGGCATTAAGATAGGAGAATGAAGTTTTTCTCTTCCAGTTCTACTGATGTTGAAATACAATGCATGCTTTAAATAGTTATGCAACAATCATTCCTTTAAGCTCCTTTTAAAATATTTAACCTAAGTTTTTTTTATTTCGTCTGGATTTAGCCTAATCCTTATTAATAACTTCCGAACTA